CAAAATTGAAATAGTACCGGTTGTCAGGTCGAAATATCAAATTTAAATATTTTCTTAAAAATAATGCTGGTGTTCCTATTATAACTAATAAGTTTTAATAGTGTGAGAGCTTGTTGTTACATGTCGCTAGAGATTCAATATTTTGATAAATGTTGTGGAGCAATGACGTCACTATTAAGATTTTGTATGGCCAAATAGCGTTCACTTACGTTCTTCGACGAAATAAAAGAAATTATACGACGTAGTAGTACGTTGCTTTACATTCTTTAAGCTCAGGCCATACAGAGGCGGTACAGCGAGAAAAGCGGTCCGGGGGCGGACCTGCGGGAAGCGAATGCGTATCGGGACGTGCCACACAGCAGTCCCAAGCGAAGCACGCGGCGGAATAGTAGTTCGAAGGCGGCCAGTACGTACCAAAAGCGGCCACGTTTCATTTTCACCACATCGCTATCGGATAATGATCAAGAACATTTTCTGCTTTTATTAGCGTCGCGGAAGCAACACAAAAAACATCAGTCTAATTCATATTGGAACTTAGTATACTTGTTTTTTCAAACAAACCGACGTTTCGGGCCCTTTACAGATCCCATGGTCACGGTTGACTGTAAAGGGACCTGTAAAGGGCCCGAAACGTCGGTTTGTTTGAAAAAACAAATATACGCAATTTAAATCCGGAAAAATAGTTTCATTTCATATGTGTAACAATGGCGAAAACCTAAGAACTCAAGTGTTGTAAAAAAATACAACGTCAAAGCCCGCTAAAGCTCCACTCCCGGACCGCTGCTACCGCTCTGTGTGGACGGTTGCATAGAATCGAATGGAGTACAACTCGCACGCCCGGACCCGCTCTGTGTGGACGGTTGCATAGAATCGAATGGAGTACAACTCGCACGCCCGGACCCGCCCTGTGTTTGCCCCGTGTCCGCTCCGCACCCGGTCCACCTGTTTGTTCATAGCGTCGACCCGCACCACGCGGCACCGGCGCGCGGCTGTCGCGGGTTTCTGTGTAGCAGGGTTCATATTATGAACTCGTACATTACGAAAATTCCCACGCCTGGAACACACCCGTGGCCGCCTCTATGTGGCCAGAGCATAACAAATGTTTAGGGCGGCATGTAACTTAGCTCGCGCGAATGTGTTAAGCATAAAAAATAAAACGATTATTTCGTTCTTTGAAGCTTTAGTCTCTCCTGAAAAGTTGTGATTTTGCAGATGTGGTTTATTACGCTAAGGGTGCGATTTAAGGTAACTAATCTCAGTTTAGTAATTAATATCGGTAGCCCCGGTTAGGAAAACAGACATGTGTTCGTGTCCAGTCCGTTGGAAGGAATTTTTCTTTGTGTTTGTACAGTCTTTGCATATATCTATAATAAGGCCTACCGCGTTATCAGAATCGGTTTCTGAAGTAGCTGCGCGGTGCGGAAGGAGTACCAGTTTACATAACAGTTACGTCGCGATGCACACGGGATAATTTCAACAAGACTTTTCTGACGATATTCAATAACAAGTTGATTGAAAAAACTACCAAATGGCTTGTCTATTCATTTCAATTATGAATGAAACATTTTTTTTATCATCGTATCACATAACTACGATCTACTAATTTTGTAGACATTTTTTACATTTAGAATAAATTTTAAAATTAGTGAACCGCTTTTGAGGACTCTTTTTTTGTTGGAAAGAGGGTAGCTACCTTAATATTGGTTCCACTTAAATTTAAAGAAAATATTGCACCTCTAAGGGTGGCAAACTAGGGCATGAATCCGATTTCGCGCAACGGATTTCAATAAACCTTGGCAAATAGACGTAATTCCACGAACTTGTGAGGTCGGTTCTTTTAGTAATCTGTACTGAGATTACTCTCTAGTATTTAGGTATGATGAATTTTTAACACAGAAATGAAATAAACTGAATTCAATAGTACTATTACCAATGTTTCCTCCATAGGTAGGCATCTAAAAAACTAAGATTTTTTTTAAACACTACACGGTATTTTCAAAGGCCAAATATGCGGGTCAAAAGTCAGTATCTAAAAACACTATTTACTTACAGCTGGAGGTTGGGCCATGCTGAAATTTGTAACCTCTGTTTATTTACAACCAATTTGTAAATGGAACTGTTATAATAACGCACCTTTATTATAATAAGAAGTTATTTATACATTTGTTAATATTTTATCGTATTCCAAAAAAAACTTTCTATCAAAGTCCAGGTTAAAATTTTAGTCAAAAATAGACAAAATAAAACAAAGATAACATTTTTAATTTTTAATGTACCAGCTTCTGTGCTCGTTTCTAATTCTAGAAAGGAGTTCCGTATTTAGTACCTAAACTCAGTTATAATAACGAGACAATTTATTGGACAATAATAAGAAAAAGTCTAAAATGTAGTTAGAAAGAATGTATGTGATAAAAATGATCATTTAATTAATATTGTAGTGAAATAATAATGTTTTTAATCAACTTTAAAAAAGAAGGGGTTTTCAATTCGACTGTATTTTTTGTATGTATATATATATTACGCGATTACTCCGACATTTATGAACCGATTTCAATGACAATGAGATGAAAATGAAGTAAACAGCCACCATGATCTTCCCTTCCTAAGTATGTAGAATCATCGTGAAAAATACTAAATTTAGAGGGCCCAGGGGGGTTACCATGACCTCTTATTGCGATTCAACAATGAACCTAAACAAGTCCGTTTCGCTTATTCGTACCATGACGTCCTAAAAACGATCATGTCCAAAGCATTTACGCCAAGGCCAAACAAATCCTAAATTGATGCGCAACTCCTTTGAAATCTTTAACATTCATTCATTTTTCGTACCATGACGTGCTATTTGACATTAGTTGATACGATGTTGGTTCGCTGTAATGCCTTAAAATTCGGCTCAAAAAAAGTTACTCTTTGCTAGCTTATATTGAGACGTTTGCCATTCTATTAAATATTTTTTCATTTATTTTTAGGATTTATCAATTGTGTATCAGTTAAAACTTTTTTGTTGTATGCGGTTGATAAATAATATACTGTGTAAGTAACCATAATAATAACAAGTATAAATATACGTATAATCAAATAAAATAAAATAATCTAGCAAATTATTGTACTTTTAGATGTGCGACGACGAATTATTACAATTCCTGGAGTCAGACAAACTCGAAACAAAGATTATTGCCAAAAAAGGCGCTATGTAAGGGTTCAATCCATTTTGAATTGCAAGATTCAGGCTTTATTAAAAGTATGGGCTTTAACGACCCACAGGAGACATCAGTGGCTACTCAATGGCACAACAAACAGTGTCTGCAGGAATAAGTGAAATCACGGCATGTCTCAATCATAAACAAATAAGAAAATATACGTTTTCCAAACAATCTTGAGGAAAGAAATAAGATAAGATTTAGGTAAGTATTTTTTACATTTAATCTGCTTTTAAATACTTATGACCTCGTATAGTGTTATCTAAAATATTACCCATATTATGTAATTATATTTTTTTTAGGTTATATCAGAAATTAACGATCCCTAGCATATTGGGTTGCATTGATGGCACCCACATGGGAATTGCTGGGCCGACTGACAATGAAGAAAGATATTACAGTTGCAAGCAGTATCACTCTTTATATGTCCAGTTAGTAAGATTATTATGGATTTGTTAGGTATTTCATAAGTAATTATTTTCAGACATGTGATGCTGAAATGAATATCACTGTATAGATGCAAGCTATGGTGGAGCCACACATGGAATTTACATCCAATTAAATTTCACCTGGAAAATCTAAACCAGTGTATGTGGCTGCTTGGTACATTGTTGCACGACAAAATTGTAAAGGTTTTAATTGAAGGAAAGAAAAGAAGTTCGTTATAGCGTACACCATCATCATGATGTGCGAGTAAATAAAGAAATGTTAGAGAGCAGAGGGCTACACTGTGGTCATCTATGGATGGTGAGAAATGGAGGAGGTTAGTCTGACAAGTATCGGGGAATAAAATAACAAATATTCCCCATATTTGTAAGGAAAGAACTAAGCTGCCTGCATAATAATTCTGGGGCATTTTATCTTCTAGGTATGTATGAAACAAAACAAATACAAGAATACAAAAACAAATATTTGAAATATTTATAATACTTGAGTTTAGGAATAATAATACATAGGTATGTACCTAAATTTTATATTTATCATATTATCACAAATCAATCACATTAAATTAATCACAACACAGATCAGAAATAACTTGTACTCAGTCTCTTATATGCATCTGAATTTATTTCTAATTATTTAAAATTGTTTCATTACATGACTCACAAGCGTACATATCGTATATTATTTTAAATACACTATATTATTTTACAGTCAATTTCATTAAGTACATAGATCACAGGTTCCTAAACTGGTATGGGTGAACCTACTTGTTGATAAAACACATATCACATCACTTCGCTGGGCTGGTCGCGTTCCAAATATACTTATTGACTTAACTCAAATTCATGACAAATTATTACAACTGATCTGAAACAAAAAAAAACTATATTAATAAAAGTTCAACTATGTATTAGTAATTTATATTTATAAATTGTTTGCGTGATTATTTCAGGCAATTCTGGTTATGAACGGGTACACCGGATGATGAGACCTCTATTTTGTGCTGAGAAAACATAGAACAAAATAATTTTATCTAACTACTGGGCAAATTTTAGGTCAGTAAACACCATAGTTTACTTCTTAAAATTACATGGAAATGATATTCTTAATGGAATCTTCACAAGCTCTTTTTGTGTTTCAGTGTTTTTGATGAGGAGGAGAATAAATATGATGAAGATACTTCTCAACAATCTCTCGATCTCAACTTGAAACCACTCGGAATGCAAGAATTTGCTATTGTAAAAAGAAACATTTAATAAATATGTATTTTAATTAGAAATGTTAAGTAAATGTTAATAAAGTATATTGCCAAGTTGTACCATGCTGATAGGGACAGTAATGCAATAAGTACAGTTAGCGACTTAACGGAATATTTAAATAAGCGTGCTTCTGTTCTCGAGGCAAGTCCAGTAGAAAAAACCTGCAAACAAGAAGTGTAAGTTTATCAGTGTCCACTATAAGTAAAAAACATGCTTGTAAACTATGTTCCCAGAGCCATAAATTATTCAAATGTCCAAAGTTTTATCTGTTGTCAAGTGCTAAGCGTGTGGAGTATGTTCAAAACAATAATTTATGTAGTTTTAATAAATTTGTTACGGACAGCCGTACGCACCTGGCCGGTCAGAGCTAGAATTCAGAGGAAAATGAATAATTCAGGAACTCTGATTGGCCGAGCGGCGTAGCGACCCATTGATAGAACCGGTACGGTGTAGGAGACACCGGTATAAATATAAGCGATTATTAGTTTGATTGAATTCTTGGATTAGTCGTTTTCTTATGCTCTTAGTAGTAAGACGTGTTCATGATTGTAAGTGAGATCGACATAAGTTTCTATGAATATACAGTCCACTGCACAAGATTAAGAAGTATCTTCAACAGTTTGGTCCATTCGACCGGATCGACTGGCGAAGAGGAATAATTGGTTTCCTTCGACCGGGATACGAAACAAGATTGAACAAGTCTGATCCTGTTCAAGATCGAAGTCAACAAGAGTGAAGAGTGAAGATCGTCGTGCGCCGTAGTGGGTACGAACGAACCCCACACGGCGCTGAAGAATACGAAGATCCAAGATTGTGTCGACGTGGGTAGAAGTGCGCGAAGAGCCGAAGCCAACGTGTCCTCCGTGCTAGGACAACGTGCGCAAAGAGCCGAAGCCAACGTGTCTTCCATGCTAGGACAACGTGCGCGAAGAGCCGAAGCCGTCACATCACGCAGCACCGCGTTAAAGTGGTAGATATAAGCGCCAAAGGTTCTAAGTTTCAAGATACTAAGTTTCAAGGTCCTAAGTTTCATTTCCCGTTGCCTGCACCTAACGGTGACAAACGCAGGCATTACTTTTTCAAGGCACAGGAGCTGATCTTCAAGACTTAGGGTATTAGGGTAATAGGACGATAAGAGGCTCTATGCCTAGGACTAGGAGTCAAGGTATCGGGGAGGACGAACCAGCCGCCATGGAACAGAGGAAGCAGCAATTAGGCACGATACCGTCGCGCGTTTTCGAGGAACCGGCGCAGTCGCCGTCCGAACTCGCCGCGAGCGTTGTCCCGAACGATCCTCCGGGGGACGGTAGTAGTCTCCAGACTAGTCAAGTAGGCAATGTCGAATCCTCGAAACCCGCACCGCCGAAGAGTAATGTTCACGCCCGACGACTAATATATAATATATAATAATGACTTTAGCCCGCGTAACGGAATCGCGTTCCGCCGCGTTTAGGGTAGGGAGTACTTCCACTCGTTCGCGTGTCTCGGCGTCTAGCGTGGCCGCGCGCGCTAGAGCCGAGCTAGAAGCGGAGTTAGCTTCTAGAAAAAGCTTCTATAAAAAATTACACATTTGAAAGAATCGCATCGAATTTTATTAAAACCTAATTTTCATACACATCGTAACTGATAATATCAACGCCGATCGGCGAAACTCATGTTTGAAGACAAGAATCAATTTGTGGTGAGTTCTGCAGCCTCAGGATTCAAAAGACTCAGCTTCGAAGATTAAAGTGCGTGCGTGTAGCATAGCTAATTTGGTTCACATCGTTTTCTCAAACAAACTTACCCAATTACGGGAAACCAGGGCAGAACGGATCCCCGGGGTAGAATGGAAAAAGTGCACAGTTGCGCGGGGAGAGCACATTCGTTGCGTGAACGCTTCTGGATGCATTACGATATATTACATACAGTGAACTAACCAAATCGAATGTCACATTTGTTCTGCCATGCCATAATAATATATCGCGGGTGTATTCCAAATTCAATGACTGTTACAATTTTGACTGATCTTTGATTGAAGGTAAGTTTTCTTGTTATCATAGTTTTTTACGGCTCGTAATATTAATCGCGAGATGCACTATTCATAATCATATGATTAGTATGTGTTTACTGTTTTAATTAAAAATCAATAAGTCATTTACATTTATTTGACACTGGTCCTGGGGCAGAATGAACGGGGCAAATTGAGCCCCTATCGGGGTAGAATGGGCTAGGGGCCATTCCGCCCCAATCCGTATTCTTAATTATTTTATAAAAGCTGATCTTACGCCACTTATTCCCTACGATTGTTTTAGATGGTACGTAATTACGTAAGAAAATCAAATACTTAGCAATGCTGGTCGACCAAACAGATAGAGCTTGCTGTGGATGCTGTCATAGAAAACAAAATGGGGTACAAAACAGCCAGCTACTCCTATTCCTATACCTACAATTACTTTGCAAAGATATAGTAAAAAAAGGAATCAAACTTCAGAATCAGTCTGCAGTTGAGGATTAATCTGTAGGAAAAATTCACCTGGTTTTTAGAGCAGACCAAGACTCAGAAATTGTTTTATAATACGTTTATTGATAGAAATGCAAAGAAGTCTATTTGGAGTTACAATGAAAGAATTATGCTCGTCTGTATTGCAACTCGCTGTAAAAAGTTACAGCAAACATCCCTTTAATGCAGAAACTCAAATGGCAGGCGAAATTTATCACAAGTAAAACACATTTCTACTTTTTTATTTGGTGGCTCATTCCGCCCCAAGGGTACGGGGCAGAACGAGAAATTTCCACATTTTTTTAAACAAAATTTTTCACTGTGTTATTATTGTTTATTCTTAATGATTGTGCAATTATTATATTCCCAAAACAATCAATATATGATTCTATGACTTGATTTCTGTTGTTTTCTTTTACAGAGCCCTTAATTTGATAGTAAACATTTGGGGACTCATTCCGCCCTGGTTTCCCCTACGATTAATTCCATGACATAGAGAGAATTTCTCGTACGCCATGTAACTAAAAATATTCGCACCGACAAATCTTAAATATCCATAGTAAAAAGAGTAATATTATGTTACATTTTAAGTAAATATATAACTTGTAATGGTCAGCTCCAGTCGGTTTGCAGTGAGCATGAGCAGTCTCATTTGTGCGTGAGTTCTGATTGACCCGGTGCTGCGTGTAAAATTTATAAGCGAGGAGGGGGCCTTACACACAACGAAAACAAGTTTCAAGTAGAAATAACCAGATGCTTTATTTTAAATTTACTGTTATTACATGTAACCTATGTTACATTTAAATGTAAGGGTACAGTATGGAGAACTAGTATTTTACTTCCCCGAGTTTACATTAAGAGTGTACAGATATGCTTACTGCTCTTATCAGTTACATATAAAAGGTTAATTTTAAGTATACTTAGAGCTAATACACTGCACTAAGAGTTTTTGAAAGTACATGAGTGACACGTGGACCTTGCGAGCCGACGTGTCGAACAGAAAAGACAAGCTTCCGCCGAATCCCTCCTAAGAGATGTTACCCGCGAACAACGCCACAGACAATCTATCGATTCATCTACAGTCCCAAGTCTTATCACCTAAACCCGCTAGAATACAGGGCGATTCCAGGTTTACGTATATTACTTTATAGCAAGTACTTGGCAAACTAATTGGCGGCGTTCGACATGGAAATATTAAAGAAAAGCTATAATTTACATGAAGCTCGACTGCAGAAGTAAAATCGAGTTTATTGGTACGCAGCACTAATATTCTGCGTTACCATAAAAGAAAATTAGCCAGGGTTGGTGTTTTCAAAAATACGTCAAACTAAAGGGTACCCATTCACGATATTGATTTTATAGAAAAATCGTTCACCAACAAGTAATGTACATGTGAATGGTTTAAATAATAGATTACACCAACACATAAGAGTTTCAACTAATTTATCTATTTATTTTTAAACTATAACGTCAAAGTGACATTGTGTACAAGAATGGTGAAAAATACCAAGGAGAGAAGATAAATTTTGTTTATGTTTTGTATTTAGGAGATCTACCAAAAAAATGTGTTACAAACTATTCCCACGAATAATACTGTAAACACCACAAGCGAACAGCCGCCAGAGTAATTTTTACTAGAATAAAAATTTTAAAGGATTTTTTATTAATTTCTGTTACACTAACAATATTTTCGTCTTTGATATTTAATATAAGTGTTCGATGTAATCGAACACCTTTAACGCACGCGTTTGGCGGCACGCGCCGCCGATCGCCTATACTTTAGTGCATTACAAAAAGTCGTATAGATCGGGTGCATTCATAACATTCTTAACATTTAACATAAGTAATTTTAGCTATTTTGAACAATAAACTTTATAAACTTAAACCGTGTTTCCACGATCAACAACAACAATCACAACTACTCCGAACATTGGTCCTTCGAGCTTTTGGGGTTTTTGGTGAGTTTTTAAGTGTGTTGGCAATCGGTCCGCTGATCTCCCAGAAGCGGGTCTCACCAGCGGATTGAGATGGTGCTCACAGCGTACTATAGAACGAACCAAAAAGCATAAACTAACTAGCAAGCATAGGGGTGTGATGAATTGCAACATTAACAGCGAGAATGGAGCATCTTCTGAAGAAACAAGCGGAAATCGCAGGAAGCATCGAAAAAATAATTATCAATTTCAAGAAGGAAAGTTACGAACGAAGGTGTTGTTCAGCGGAAAAAAGGAAAGGTGATTTGACGGCGCTTTATGCAGATTTTCATGCCAATAACTTGATTTTGAACAATATGAAGACAAAATGCACGATTATTTTACGGGTGAACATTATGAAGAAACAAAGAAGTATTATTCAGAAGCGATGGCCTATATTAATAAGCTTTTTAAAATTTATGTGGAACAGGGAAGAGAGGAGCAGCTGAACACTGAGGAAGAAACAGGAACTTCTGGAGGACACTATAGAGCAAAAATAGCCAAGGGATTACACGAGAAGTTACGTAAACAAACAGCGAACTACAAAACGTCCCAACAAACAATTTCTACAATAAACGTTGATACTATAACAAAGAAATGGGAGTTCGAAGACACATTGAAAACATTGGATCGCGGTGGATAACCGTCGATTCTCTACATTGGGAGATAGAAACCGAATTGAAACGTATATGAAAACCAATATAAC